CCATTTTGGATCAGTTGCCTCGCCTCCAAAAAACAACCGACCTAAGTTTGCCTGGAGTCTTTTTTGAGCACCAATCGACACTTCAACTGGCCAGTTGCTGTAAGCACCAAAATACAGGGGATCACGTGACCATCGATGGAGCATTATTTCTTCGACATCCGGGATGTTGTCACCATACATATGACGTAGCACATTCATCACTTCCGATCTAATGACGTTATCGTTTTGTCCCTCCAGTCTTTTCGATTCTTCGCCTGTCACTGTCACCATCAATATATTCGTGCCAACATCGAATAAGCCGGGAGCTTCAAGATTTTGCCAGACGGGGTAAAATCCTCGTCTTGGATGCGCGTGTAAGATGAATTCTTGTTCGTCCCAGAATCGGGTTGCATTCTTTGGAAATTTCAAGAAAATCTTTGTGTATAGTGCCATTTCGAATTGTTTGATTTCTAACATCTTCCAGGTAGGAAGGGGAAAGTCAAACTTTATGACGTCATTTTGAAGTACGCCGATGCTGAAAGTGATGAGAGCGAATGGAGCTGTGTATACAGAGTCGTCTTGGCAACGGACAGTGACGCTGTTGTTTGTCCAGGTAATAGCCGTCACCACTTTACCGTACCTTAAACGGAGGTCGCCTTGTTTCATGAATTCATTTGACATTTTTTTGATAAGTACGCTATACCCGCGTTGGTCGGTCACAAACAAATCTTTGTCGTTCACGACGACAGCTGTAGACTTAAGGGACGTTACGTACGCAATTCCGCCGTATTCAAAATCAACACGAAGATATTCCAGAACTTCGTCGATAGGGGTACGTGGGTTCCACTTAGCTAGTCTCAGCGCAGCACGGATAGACATGTCAGATTTATTGTTTTCCAGGAGTTCTAACGCTAGATCGTGGGTGTAATCAAGAGACTTGTCAAGCTGGTGTCTTACAACCAACGCTTCCCTGGTCACGTTCTTCCCTTCTGCATTTCTAAAAATAATACTATCCCAGTTCGACGGTTTCCCTTTTAATTTATACTTCTTAGCTAGGCTAACAACAGGATTCAGGTTCTCGTTGTTGGGCTGGATCCAATTGGCGCCAACTTCCACCACTTTACCACCGAAACGGAACTTCCATCATGCGCCCGCCTACACGATGAGACCCCTCCAGTATGACAAAATTGTCAATTCCGTGAGAATTCAGAACTTTAGCTGCTGCGATCCCGGTTGCCCCGGCACCCAGAATTAAAACATCCATTAAAATGGCTTCTTTGGTTATTTCTAGACTCAACAACATTTATGACTAATACATGTATAAATAAAGCACCCAACATCCTAAAATAACTTCCCATTTTGGCATCCAATATCCTTAACATTGGGTCTAAATAATACCACGATTTCTTTAAGTCCTCGGGATTTGCACCTAATTGTACTTTAGCACCAATATAACGACGAACAATGGGATCACGCAGCTCAAAATAATACTCCTCCTAAAAGTATTTCAATAACACGTTTCACAACAAGCTAATGTCGCGAATAAGACACTGAAAATAAAGGTCCCCAACTGCAGCGACGTACTATTTCGTTCTGCTTCCCAGTATTCCCGTATATTTTTGCAGTCCTGTGCGGTGAACCGTGTTTGCAGTCCTCGTCAACTGACCTTGGCGACGCGAGACTTGTAAAATCCAGTTCTACCCACGCATATTACGATTGTTTATAAAAAGCTCTCGAGCTTTGTCAATAAATTGTCTTTATTTACATGAAAGCGCCCTCTAACGAAGGTTATTTATACGTATATTTGGATGTCATTATATATTTGATCGTCTGCTGTACCATCAAAGGTCATTTGATAGATCGTAATGACGAATACACTGCACTGTGGTAGGCTGTAATAACTCTAGGATACGCGCCCTCACACAACAACAATAGTATGTTGCAAAGCAAAAACGTCATGCGTGTACTCGTAACCACCCGTAACCACCACCACAGGGATTTTGAGAGATGCATTATTAAAAAAATTAAAAGATTTTTCATCTACCTATCCGCGCAGTAGACTGTTCCTGCCTATTGCCTTCACCACATATTCACACAATGGAATGATCCACTTACCTATTGCCTTCACCACATATTCACACAATGGAATGATCCACTTACCTATTGCCTTCACCACATATTCACACAATGGAATGATCCACTTACCTATTGCCTTCACCACATATTCACACAATGGAATGATCCACTTTACCTATTGCCTTCACCACATATTCACACAATGGAATGATCCACTTACCTATTGCCTTCACCACATATTCACACAATGGAATGATCCACTTACCTATTGCCTTCACCACATATTCACACAATGGAATGATCCACTTACCTATTGCCTTCACCACATATTCACACAATGGAATGATCCACTTACCCATTGCCTTCACCACATATTCACACAATGGAATGATTCACTTACCTATTGCCTTCACCACATATTCACACAATGGAATTATCCACTTACCTATTGCCATTCACCACATATTCACACAATGAATGATCCACTTACCTATTGCCTTCACCACATATTCACACAATGGAATGATCCACTTACCTATTGCCTTTACCACATATTCGCACAATGGAATGATCCACTTACCTATTGCCTTCACCACGTATTCACACAATGGAATGATCCATTTACCAATGACCTTCATAAATATATTTGCTCAACGCATGGAGCAGGGAACAGTCTAATAATAATAATAATCTTTAATGGATAAAAATCGATACATGACAATTAACGAAAATAAAAAATACAATACAAACATTAATAAAAATAACTAAGAACAAAAGAGAGAAAATAGCCACTGGTGACGCTGTATACGATCGAAACCTGTTGAGGCTTGCCTGCGCTTATTCAGATTTTAGTGTAAATGCCTGAAACACTTGTTAAATATGGTGACCAGTTTAGTATGATAGAAAGTGTACAGCCTTCAAATTAGCACAATAGACAGAGTGGGGAGGGGGAGGGGTCAAGACCAAATATACGTGATTCCGGAGTTTCATAATAAATGCTCTCTATTAATAATTTCACTTACGTGAGGGAAGCCTGAATAGGTTTTGATTGTATACAGCGCCACCAGTGGCTGTTCCCAGCTTCATGCGTCCAGTTGTAGATTAGCATTCCACTGTGCATTTACATATCAAACGCCGAGTTGAGGCTGGGGTGGGTGTGTTTTGGTCTACGTTTCTCCCGGAATTGAAGCGGTTTATTAACAGTATATACATACATAAATATTTCTGTAACTGAGGATAGCTGGAAAGATATGCATCCGATACTTATTGATGCTCAGCAGGCTAACCTTACAACACAATGTTAAACTAATAAATAAATTTATTCGTTGAGTGAATAAACTATTCATAACTCATAGAAAAACGAAAGCTGGCGTCAATTAGATAAATGTGTTTTGTCGTAAGACAATATTGTAGATGGATAGGTAAAAATAAGTAATTTGCAAGTTGTGATGAAGGTTATGACTCTCAGGGTGACTTATAATCCGACAATAAACCAAGTAATGCTTGTAAGATTTACTATGGACCAAACATATTATATTGGTACTACGAAGTTTTCTGAACGTCAAAGATTGTTACAGTTATGCACACACACCGTCAAACAAGTCTGAATAAAAATGTGTATAATTTATTAAACCACTGTTGATGATTTCCAATATTTCTTTACCCTTCCCATACAGTATACTGGACTTTCCGCCTACCTTTGCTGTCAATTCAGTATACGAGTACATGTTTGTGCATGGCGCCCTCAACGGTATCAGTTTACAACTTTCTGTGTTCGAAATCTGAACAGCAATGCTAGTAAAACAACAATGAAACAACTTTCCTGCAATGAAAACCATCTAGGGTCTGTTACCCCCCCCCCCACCGTGTAAACTATCGATATTGTTGCACATAAATCAAGTAATGAGTGTTTTATCTTTCATGTCACAATATCATCAGTCCCATGGCAACCATGCCATAATACCGATATCACCTTGTTCGGTAAACATCAGTACAAGGGACAAATAGCGACACTGACTTACACAGTGTGTTGATAAATACAATTAATTTTTATCTATGTACATGTAGGTCACATAATGACAGCATCTGTATTGGTACAAGTTGACACAGACCTTTTATCTAAGTCAATTGGAGGGGGGCATCACATACAGGTCTTAAAAAGCAGTTAGGCTGATATTGTTTTTCTGAATTTTCTCGTCCACAATTTTTCTTTGTTTTTTTAAAAGTGACCTAATTGGACCTAATTTTGAAAAGCATGACATTTAGTTGTAAATTCTTTGTCAGTAACGAATCTCTGTATTCCAGTCACTCTACTAGGAGAGTTACTGTGCGAGTATATACACAAAAGGTCACCATTTTAAGCCTTAGTCCATATATCATAATCGTCACGTTAAAAGCTATTATTTTCATTCACTAACGAATGAGACTTTAGGAGAACTTTCGTTAAGGTCCCCAGGTGCTTGTGTTCGACCAAGCCTGGTTGACGCCAGGTATAGCGCATTAAATTGCCATTTGATAGGGAGATGGCCGCACAGCCGTCATGCAGTTCCAAACAGGAAATGACTTCTGTGGCAAAATGCACTATGTGTCAGCACTAGCACTTGCACATACAAAAAAGTCAGGAGAGACAACAGTGACATTCAATGTTCAGACTATCGCCTGGCACAAAAAAAAAAATTCTATATAACAACAGTTATAGCAACAGTTATTGTGCACACTTGGCTTTTTTCAAGGTTTTTTGGTGTAAAAGGAAACAAATTTTTAGACAATCAAAAAAATATGTATGATTTGTACATCGACTTAGAAAAACAAATCTACCAGAACACCTTTTTCTAGGACCCCCCCCCCCAAAAGACATTAGGATGCTATGGAAGTAGAAACCAAAAGACTGCTATGCTTTAGGCCTTGGCCACATCACCCATCAATATGTTATGAAGAAGTGTGAGTGGGAGTGGGGACCACAACACCCAAGTAACTCATAATCGCAAATTTCATTAAAATGCTGAATTTATTGACTATAATCCATTTAATTGTAGACATAATATTTGGAGCTAAAATCAAAGAATTTCACAATAACTGAAATGTACATTGCAATGACTAAGATATGTACAACTTTTTATGATAACTGTTTTCACAATCCCAAAGTTTGAAATTGCAGAGTGAAAAAGGGTAACTTAATTTTCTTTTTGAGTTTTTCATAACCGACACAGATTTTAAGAATGAGACCCATGAAACGATTCTCATTGTATTGGAAAAGTACAAAAAGTAAATTTTGATAAAAATCTCATACCAGCACAGATCTCTTCTTAAAAACCTGGCAAGCAATCAGAAATTTGTGAACTTTTGATACAAAGTAGCATATTGAAATACTATTGTAATTAAAGTATGCTACACATGCATTGTATGTCAGATTGAACCCACATTGGTTTTTTTTAGAAAGGAACTCATTTTAGTCAGAACAGTTTACACAAAAAATTGTACAAATTAATTGTTATTATAATATTAATGTTGGTTAAAATACAATGCTAAAAGTGAAAAATAAACAGAAACTGGCAGTTACACGAGTATAGTAAAACACCCCCAATAATAATGGTACAGTCCACAGTTCCAGCAGTACGTTTTAAAATAGGGGTGGCAGACAGAGTGGTGGGCACATTTCATTTAGAAAGGAAGAAATTTACAAAATGCATATAGTCATATATAAAGTTTGATGCTGAAAGCATGACTAGACTAGTCTATTTTGCAATAGGGGTCGGAGAGTTACAGTGATAGCAAGATTTCATTAAAAAAGAAAAAAAATATATAGAATATTCAGCGTCTTCCCAGGCAAATTATGTAACCTTAGCTAATTGGCATAACAATTATTATCTTAAGTGAGCTCTGATCTGGGGAGAATTCTTCAAATCACAAAAACATTAATATTTGAATTAAATTTGCTCTACAACTGACTTCAGTAGAAATGAGAATTGTAGTTAAAAGAAGAAAACCATGAAGGATCATAAATTGTATGTACCGGGTATATTACAGCAAATACAATGCACGGTAGCAGAAATAACCACAAAAAATTCTACTAGTATTCACAACAATTTTCAATCAACACTTCTCAAACAGTTCTCCATGGCAACAAATGTTTTATACAAGACATTTTGTTAAAATTGCAAGAATCTTTTACATAATATAGCACGATAATGCAAACTAACTAGGGAGTGTGTTAAGACCCCTCAAATTAATGACAAGTCAGCTATAAATGTGGAACATAGATAACAATTTAGAAAATTATTGAGACAGGGACCAGTTGAGTTGAAGCAAATGTACAAGGTGATAAGTTGGAAAAAAAATGCCAACGAACAGCTCTTTGATTGGTTGTAAAGGGTCAGGTGGTAAATCTGGCTAAGTTGTGTTAGTTGTGGTGTCAGCTCACAAGTTCAGTTGAAGTAATCCTGCTAGCAAAATTATTCTTATCAAAACAATGTCATTAGTTTCTATGTTTTTCTCTATATTCAATACTGAATTTTTAATCAAACAAATGAGACATGAAATTGTTTATAAGTTTTCATCGAATTCACCTTTTGCAAAAGAAACAATATTTATTTTATGAAGTGAAATGTAAGTAAACTATGGTTAGTGAGACGGTTGAATCTGGACCTCACTACAGCACTATGTATTTTATGTATTACTACACTGGACCTCATTACAGCACTATGTATTTTATGTATTACTACACTGGACCTCATTACAGCACTGTGTATTTTATGTATTACTACACTCATAGTAAGTAGGTGTTTATTTTATGCAATATAAAGCACTACCATAGTTTTTGAAAGAAACATAACAAATTTTATGCATTTCACATAAAACGTAACACTAGGACACAATTCTATTGCAAATCAATACTAAACATGAAATTTAAAGTTGTAAACAAAAAACATGTATGACATTTACCACAAGAGGGAGACAATCTGTGTGACAAAAAAAGCAACAGAATTCGTTCAACTGCTTTAATTTGATTTTTCAAAATGCAATTAAATCCTGAAATAACAAAAAACTACGGTTTACGGTCAATTTAAAAAATGAATGTTCTAAACTAGAAAAGCAATTCAGTAGAGAAATATAAAGCACCATAAAGATCCATTCTTGTAGAAAATAATGCATGCATATATGAACAGTTAACTACAAAGAAGTTATGAATTATCTGCATTAAAACATGTTTCAATACACAGAGCATCAAAAACTTAAACTGCAGGCATTGTATCAACAAAATACAGAATTTTCACATAAAATAAGATTTGTATGTCAGAGAAAATTTAGAAATATAGAAATAAACATCTCATTCGTCAAATTGCGGAAAAAAAATCAAAGTGTTGAAAATTGAATTGCTGATTTATATATATATGGTGAAATACGCATCCATTAAAATAACAATCATTTGTTGATACCAATTTTGTTGAGGTTTATTGCAATACTATAAGGTTATTACAAAGATACCTCAAAGTATGCACGAAGACAGTACAGCGGCAATATCGGTCGACGCGTAGCAGAGGTCGATGCGACAGCGTACTGTATGAGTGCATACATTGGGGTATCTTCGTAATAACCTTATTATTATACATCTTTTCCTTCCAAGGATACATCATGGGAATGCCGAAATCTAAAAAGTTTAGAACAGAATAAGCGAACTTATTTGTGTGGAGTCCAGTCAAATCTTGGTAGCAGCCATGTTTGTTTTTATTATTAGAGGACGCTTACGCACGTAATCATTCCAAATTTGGAATTCGCATTTCCTAATATGGTAGTATGAAAAATACCCCGTAAAATACCGCCAAATCACGGCACGCTGTAACTTATGCCGTTACGGTGACAGATGTATAATAATTCCAAATACGTCTAAGTGCTTATGTTACATTTACAACTTTCTCATCATCATTTAGTTTGTAAAGGTCCCTATTCAAAGTAACGTCAACCACATTGTCAGGAACATTTGCATTACCCGCAACAAAAATGTATGCATTAATAATCATGTAAAGCAATTACATCCAACAATGACAAAACAACTCCTTCACAAATAGAATATGCTTTCTGAGTGCAGTTTGGGTTATCCAGAAAAATTAAATCACCATGGTTACATAAATGTTCTTACATTCATTATATAATATAATATACAATTGCCATATAAAGAACTGCTAGTCATACTGGTATTTGATTGATAATTTTACAATAACTAGCCTATAAATCAATCAATCAATCGATGATTAATGTATTCTGTCTACTGTTAAAAATACACACTTCCCAAGACGTATTTGCTACTGTCTTATATCACTGTACATTATATTCCATATGCCCCTAGTGTCTACAAATTAAGTATTCATACTACTATGCCATTCTGATTAAAATCTGATGTAAGAAAAAGACTCTGGTTGCTTTTAATCAGTGATCACTGACTATGGTTGCTGGCGTTCACACCTTGTACTACTGATCAACTAACTATCTATGCAAATAGCTCACCAACCAATTAAAACATGCTTTACTAAAACAGACCATAATGTTCTGTAAGACAAGCTCTGATTAGCAGCTGATAATGCACAATTTGCATAGGTAGTTGGTTAGTTACATCTCTTTAAAGTGACCAGATTTACTACCTAACCTTCAAATTTGAATTAGGTTGCTACAACATCAACAGAGGTAATACATTCAAAACATCATTAATATCATCTACGGTTTTCCAACTCCTCACTTTTAAAAGAACATGTCTATATGATATGAACTAAAACAACATTTGCAGCTCATCAGGGGTTTGATAGTGTACGTCACATCGATTAAAAGAACGAGGTATTGATGAGATGATCACTAAGTCCTTCTAATCATTAGCCATTGCGCAGTACAGACCCATCAATAAGCAATCACATAGTAGAGACCCAATCGATTAGCCTATTTGTTCCATCATCAAGTAATCACAAACACTTGGAATAAAGAACAAAAACTGAATAAACTTGATACATGTATAAATATATATTTATGTATGGCATTTCATTTAAAACCAAGGCACTGTATCGTTTCATAGATCTGTACTATAGCAATGACTGTAGCGCTTAGATATTTTAGGGGAACAAATTAAATTGATTAAAAGCTGTTCAACAATGTTGATAAAAACGTATTCCACAACACTAAGGATGTAAAAATCTGCTAGGGTCTCTCCACAATTATTAGTATAGATATATTACACACGTTGGCTATTATTCAGAGTTGTAGAAAATGCCCACCTGTGTCAACCCATTTTGAATTTTAACTTTGTCCACCCCTGTTTCACATACAAAACAGGCATTAACTTAAAACAGTAAATTCTAGTCTGAAATAAGAGTTCTGCATTTTCAACTATCGGCGACATCAGAAGTTGAAGTTTTTATTTCCTTTGCACCATTTTCTGTTATCACCTGTGCTTGTAGAGCAGGTGCCTTTTCACATGTCTGCACTTCGACAATGGTTTCAGACTGCTTGTCTTCTTGATGGTCATCGGCTGCCTCCTGCATGTCACCACCTCCTGGGCACTTTTCTATAAGTGGTTCAGCCTCAGAAACAGCTTCTTGGATCTTCTCTAGCAGAGGCTCTGTGGCCGAGATAACATCTCCCCCAGCAGTGACAGTACTATCTATCATGTTGTTTACAATATTGCCATCAGTAGGTAAAGCTGTTTCAACCTTGTCTAAAACAGGTGGGTTACTTATTCTGCTATCATTTACAGTAGCAGTGCTGCTAGAGCAAATTTCATCTGCAGGTACATCAGCACTGCTGATGGCAGCATCTTTACTAGAACCAATTTGACTATCATCCACTGCCTGGCTACTTTCAACTTCAACCACATCTTCAGACATAGAAACATGACTTTCCACAACTTCAACAACATCAGAATGTGCTTCTTTCTTCTCGTCTTGACCACTTTCTTCAATAATAATAGGATCATCTATCCGAGTGTCCACGCTTTTTATCATGTCATTGGTTGTATCTGCCTGGCTATCTACAACTTCAACCACATCGTCAGAAACGTATGCATGACCCTCAACATGACCAACTTCGATCACATCCTCGGTGTCGCTTGTGTGGCCCTCAACATGACCAACTTCAATCACATCATCAGAGACATTTGCCTCACTATCAACATGACCGACTTCAACTACATCAGCTGACATGCTTTCTTGGCAATCTTCAGCACTAACAGAGACACTTCCTTGACTATCAATGTTGCCATCTTCAACAACTTCAGTAGGGACATTTGCCTGACTATCAACCCCACGAATGTCAACTACATCTGCAGACTCACTTTGACCGTCTATGACACCAACTTCAATCACATCATCAGAGACATTTGCCTGACTATCAACCTCACCAACTTCAACTACATTAGCAGATAGGCCTTCTTGACTATCAGCATGACCATGTTTAATGACTTCAGAAGAGGCATTTGCTTGACTGTCAATATGACTGACTTCAACTACACCAGCTGACATGCTTTCTTGGCAATCTTCAGCACTAACAGAGACACTTCCTTGATTATCAATGTTGCCATCTTCAAGTACTTCAGCTGGAACAACTGCCTTAGTATCAGTGTCACCAACATCAACTACATCGGCAGATATGCTTTCTTGACTATCTAAGTTACTAACTTCACCAGAAACATTTGCCTGACTATCATTGTTACTATCTTCCTCAACTTTAGCAGAAACATTCATCTTATCTGTGCTGCTTTTTACTTCAACAATTTCTTTTTCACTGTCCACCATTGGATGACTGTCAACGGCAATCGCATCCCCTGGTACTTCAGCTTCACTGTCAACATTGCTACTTTCAGCTTCGGTCACAGCAGCTGATACTTCTCTCTTGCCCTCCACATCAGATTTTTCAATCACAATAATATCAGCAGATGTATCTTTCTGTTGGTCTATGCCATGTCTTGCTATTTCAATAATCTCATTATCCTTATTCAATTCTTCTAAGCTCTCAGCAACATCTGAGTTCTTAAGTGGCTCGTTGGTTTCTTCTTGGCTCTCAGCAACTTCTACCTTTTCAAGTGGACCATTGGATTTTTTTTGGCTCTTAACAACTTCTGGGTTCTTAAGTGGGTCATTATTTTTTTCTTGACTCTCAACAACTTCCACGTTTTTATTTGACTCATCAGACTTTTCTTTGCTCACAACTTCTATATTCTCATGTAACTCATTATTTCCAGAAGAGCTCTGTACTTTACTGGGCTGTTTACTTTCTTCAACACTTTCACTATTGCTAACAGTTTCTTTAGTCTTTCCTTTAGCTGCATCTACTCTGTATGGAACCTTGAAAACACTTTCTTTTGCTGCTTCTTTTTCTTTAATAGGATGGGAGTGTGTTATCTTCACAGTTTTATCTTCCACCTCAACAATTTTAACAGATTTGTTATCTGTTTTGTCACCTTTCTTTCCAGCACTTGATTTAGCTTTGCTTATGTTTTGCACACCTGCTACAACCTTTGCTTTCATTACTTTGCTTTTTCCAGCACTGTCTTTTGATATATCCTCCATTTCAACATCACAGCTTTTCAGCAATGCTTCACAACATTCCATCCCAGACAGTCCATATTCTCTCTTTTTACCCTCTTTTGTCTTTCCGGGCAAAGTCCTCTTTCCTGAAGATTTTTTTGGCTCCTGCTGTCTACCTTTTTCCTGCAATGCTTCTTTTTTGTTACCTACTCGTTTAGATGGAACATTCTTCTCAACTGCACTCTGTTTTTTTGAAGAGGCATCAGTTGGATGCTGTTTTGTAGGAAGTTGTGTTGATGGTGTAATTGTTTTTTCGCCTTTATTTTCTCCCTCATCTGTCTGTGTACCCATTTCTCTGCACTCTACTTGTTTATATCCACGCCTTATTTTTGGACTTGGAAATGATACTTTCAGTTTCTGTTTTCTGTCAGGGGTCTTACGGACTTTAACTGGTGGCGTTACTGCAGGTGAAGCTATTCTAACTTTCTTCTTCACTGGAGGGGATTGTACATCATCATTTGCACTTTTACCCTGCTGAGGTCTTTTAAGAGAAGTAGGTTGTCTTTTATTTGAATCAACTTTGGGTGCAGCTTGTAGACGAGACCTTGTGAACCTCCTAGATGCCACAGGTTTCTCTTTAGGTGGTACAGGTTCTTGCTTCTTGGACTTTGTTACTGAACTATCTTTTTCAATACGTTTTTCACTTGGTTTTGGCTTTTCCTTTAAATCTTTTACAGATTTTGCTTTGGTCAATTTTTCCTCTGGTAATTTTGTTTCTTTTTCTTGCCTATCCATAGCAGATCTGGTTGTTCTTGTTGGATTTTCAGTGACAGAACGTGTGAGCCTGTCAGTACCTGTTTTTACCTTGGACAATCTGGTTGTTTTTTCTACTCTTATTTCTGTTTTTTGGACCACAGATTTGGTGAATTTGTCTCCAACAGTTTTGGTGGACTTACTTTCGTTTCCCTTGCTTGCCTTTTCCTCAACAATTTTGGTTGAAACGCTCGTCTTTTTCTCAACCAACTTGGTTGACTTATTTGCCTTTTCCTCAACCAATTTGATCGATTTGTCTGCTTTTTCCACAGCAGATTTTGTTTCCGTCTTTCCCTTGACCAATTTTGCAGACTTATCTGTCATTTCAGCAGGTTTGATGGATTTATTAGCTTTTGCCAGATCAGATTTGGTAGATTTTTCTATCTTTTCCACAAAAGCAGGTTCTTTACCGACTCTTGGTGATGATCTTGAAGGTACTTCTTTTGGTTTGTTAGGTTTCCTACCCCTTCTAGGAGATTCTTCTTCAGCATCAGGAGGCATCATGACAATGGTTCTTTTAGCTCTTGATGGTGATGGTTTTTCCTTCACTGGTGAAACTGTGATAACAGATTTAGTCTCTGTTACATTCTTCTTGGTGATAGGTGAATCTTTCTTTGGAGAGATCTTGATGACAGTTTTATTGGGCGAGTTTTCCTCCTTCTGTGGGGAATGCTTTACAGGGGAAACTATAACATCAGTTTTTTTACCACTGTGTGTACTTTCAAAATGCTGACCAAGTTCACCAACATCTTTGAATGAAATCTTACAGCTGTTACAGGCATACTTTCCTTCACCTGTATGGGCCTTCTTATGCAACATTAGTGCTGGCTTATCTTCAAACTCTCTTGGACACTTGTCACAACGGTAGATTATCTTGTAGGGTTTGTTACGAATATGCTCTTTAGACACAATTGAAGTAGATGTGCTTGGCTCTGGCTCCTCTTCTTTTTCTTCTTCTTCTTCCTCCTCCTCCTCTTCTTCTGTTGGTGGATGTATTATTTCAACTATCTGCCTAGGTGTAGACTTAGTAGATGCTTTTGGGGTTGCATTATGTACCTTAATCTTGTGGTTATTCAATGTGCTGACTTGTTTACATGAATACTCACACTCATCACATTTGTAAGGCTTGTCATCAGAATGTTGTAGAAGATGAGTAATCAACTGACTTTTCTGTACAAATCCCTTCTTACAATGTTCACATTCATATGGGCGTTCACCAGAGTGAGATCTCTCATGATCCTGTAAGTGTCCCTTCTGTTTAAATCCCTTGTCACATGTTGAACATTTGAATGGGCGTTCTCCAGTGTGGATTCTGACATGATTATCAAGATTATCTTTCCTACTGAAGGTTTTAACACAGTGGCTACAAGAATAGGGTTTCTCTCCAGAATGTACACGTTCATGTGAGCGAAGATTTCCCTTGGAAGTGAAAACCTTTCCACATCGAGAGCATTCATGTATTTTCTTATTTGCATGATGTTTGATATGAGAATTCAACAAACTTCTATGAGCAAATGCTTTACCACATAACCCACAGGCTACCAACCCCTGACTTAGATGAGATAATTCATGCTCTGCAAAATCATCATATATGGTAAAAAAAGTTTTACAATATTTGCATGAATAGAAGATCTGAGATTTGGTGACAGATTTCCTCCCTTTTCCCTTCTTCTTTTCGTCACTTGTTTCAGCTTCTTCTTCATCACCATCATCATCCTCAACTTCACTCACAACTTCCTTGTCTTCCACAGTCTCAATCTTTGGTTCATCATCAACTTCACCTCCTTCTCCTTTCATCCTTTTCCTCTTGGGAGTTGAAGGAGCCTTGGGAACATCTTCAACTGCAGCTGGAGCTTCAGTTTCTGTAGGCTTCTGTCGTTTAGGCATCTTGAGCTCAAAAATAACACAACGTCAACGAGTCCAAAGATTATGATCTGAAATGAAACAAGTCAATTCAATAACTGTGCAAGCAAAACAAATAAACATTTGCGACAAACATGTAAATGTGACATTTCTGAACATTGAGGTCACTTGATCCCTTTTTCTGGTGCTATTTGCAAGAGTGCATGTAAGTGCAAATTGGTCACCCAAAAGACTTGACTATGTTTGGAAGACAAGGCAGGCTATACTCTGATTTACAACTCACAACCTCTCTGATGAAGGGAAAAATATTCTCAGGTAGAGTGTAAAGTTTAAAACCATTTAACCAAACTACTATGAGGACACAAAATAAACAAATGGTATAAATGTATGTCAGGTCTTTATTTATACAAACAAGCACATACAATGTTTCTTTGTGTTTGGCCAAACTGTAGCAAAATACACCAAGGACATACTGGAACAGTTTCCAGTAAAAATTCAAAGGCTTTATGTTTATTACAAGTCAACTCCATAATTATGTGATTGTTTATATTACAAAACTGATGAAAACAAGAAAATATTTCAATAAAGACTGCCTTCTTTACTTTAGGGAAATTAACCATTTGTTGCAACAACAAAAAAAGGAACCATGTCTCTGGTTTCATTGTTTTTATTAAAGCACGGCTCTGCAATTCCAGGGACTGCACCAGTGCATCATGGGAAATGTAATTTGCATGGTCCGCCCAGTTGTTTACTTGGTACACAGCTGTTAATATTTCAATCAAGTGTTAATTCCGTAAGCTAACATCATGCACTACGCTATTTCCCAATTTGAAAGGACTCATTGAATCACATTGTTCAACGCTCAAGGGCCACATTATCTTTTGAAAGCAGTTTGCTGCGTTTATTCGTGGTCAACTGTAAAGCACAATTTCTGTACCTTTTAACTTGAAAAGATAAAACGACATGGTAATTATTGTCATTGCAACTACCGTATTGTCAATTACTTGCATCATGGAGCTCTTATTTAGTACAAAGCAGCACATCGTCAAAAATAATTGTGGTTAAATTCACAGAAATGTCATGTCATATCAAGATTGTCGGTATAAGGTCAGTGTTCTCCACAATAGCTGGTGGGTGAGCCTAATTAGCATACATTTGCACATAATTTGCATATCATTTACATACAACATTTTGGAATTTATGTCATGAACTCCAATACACACTAAATTAATAATTGAGTTATAATGTAGAAATTATACAAGGTAATTTACCGAAGCCAAAACGGACGATTTGTCAAAATAAAACATTTTTATTTGTGGCATCATTACTCCCCCATGCTGACAGACGGTACGATACATTTACACATGTAGGATCACGACACGTTGTGTTTTCACAGGTTGTTTAGGAATTCAAGAAAAAATGCTAGCAATCGACAAAATAAAAAAATTAGCTATGTTCTCGAAAGATTCAACATAAAAAATTGATAAATTGAAAAAAGTACGTAGAAAAGATAACTAAAATATGTATTCAATCACTAATCCGGCAGCCATGTTTGATGTTTTTTACCACTTTCCGAATTCAGTACACGAACACCCAGAATGCGCTGTTCCCTTATGCAACTTAGATACTAAATCGTTAAAGCGCCAACAGCGGTGGGTGGCCGGCGGGCGCTGAATGGGGTAGGCCAAAAGGTGGAAATCAAGCGAACGTTGTAAATACGCTAGTATTTAAATTTTTGTTCGAGTTTACATGCAATCAGCTAACATACTGTAAAATACTTTATTTTCGCATGGAATTAATTTTCGCTATTTTCGATGAAAAAATGATTCAGTGAAAATAAAATTCCAGCGAATACATGTATACCTTTTTCCCTATATTTTACATTCAACTAGTCAAAAATCAGTGAAAATAAATTCCATACAAAACACCTAGAAAGTATTTTCAGTGAAAATAAATTCCAGCTAAAATAAAGTATTCCACAGTATTTGTTTATTTTCTGTGCATATACATTTCGTTCGTATTTACTTCTTTCTTTCGTGATTGGAAGACGATTATTAAAAATACAGCTGTAAATTGAAACCACTGTAGTTGCGTATTGTGAGCAATAAGTGGCAATAATGTCGGACGACAATGAATACAGGCGATTGACACATTGCCATGAATACACTTGATAACTGCTTGCAGACTTCCAGTGATCATTGTTTATGTCTGGACTCTTGAAATAATAGCAAAACAGTGTTCTCCCTAGACTTCATTGTAAGCATCACAATCAGTTTTTCCCAACAAATATTGTATTGTATTTTATATTTTTGTATCAAATCAAATAAA